TTAAAGACTGTCTCTCTTTCTCTAAGTAGATATCATAAAACGATGCATTTTATACGTAGGGGAAAGGGGGGTACAGTGAGCCGTAGTACACAGTGAATCAATGGCTGTTTCTCTTTTCCTATGCTTTGTATACATATACTACAATAATGGGACGCGTGCTTTAGTACTTACACCTCTAACCCGCCAATGTCCGTCACGCTCTTGCTGTTGAAGGATGCGTTATCGTCATTTGACTATCCTTGAGTATCATATCTATTTTTTTATTTCTATTACTCGAGTGTTTTATTCACAAGACGTTTAATATTGAATGACTATCTTTAAATTACTTAAACAATAATCTAATAAGCTTCTAAAATAAATTGCTGTTTGATTCGTATATATTATGTAAACTATAGTACCTAATCCGTTGTTCAGTGTTAGTATTAGTGGTGCTTTGGGGAACAGTGGGCTATTTCCATGTGGGGTACAGTGGGTTGGCCATTGATGTGGCAACTCACACTAAATTTAGAGTTGGTTAGGCCACCTATTGTGTGTAACAATGTATATTTCTACTTTATTAAAAGTATAATAATTATTATTGTGTTTTAGATTACCGATTATATTTTATATTACCGAAAGAGAAAGACTCAAATTGGTCTTATGACTGAAGAACTGAATTGACACAAAATTCCATTGACTTTATTTTAGGGGGTAACAAAATTAGAAAAGTTGCAAAACTAAAAAATATTCCATAAGCCACCTTACGAAATTCGTGAATTAATTGTCGCAGATAATATGAATCTTCTGAAGAAGGATATGTTATGAGAATAAAGAAAATGAAATAGATACTGACCACTTCAGTCCTCTTGAATCTAGTCCCAGGGAAGAAGCTTACGTTCAAGTACAGCTAGATGCACATAAAAGAAAAGTATTTTATAATAGGGAATCGAGCTGGAACAGATATCGACGTTACTTTTTTTTAAAAGAGTACAAAAGTGAAGAATTGGTATAGATTACCTGATGTTCCAGACATAGCTTCAGTGCCCCTAGAATAGAAAATAAGTAGAGATTGATAATTTTGTAATATTATTGATTAATAGTGTTCACATAATTCATAAATATTTTATTTAAATACATTGTTTTACAATATTAATTGATTCCCTGTAACGCAATAGAAAAACGTATGATGATTTCATGTGTTGATTCACTGTGTCCCAATAAGATTCGCTGTACCCCATGCGGAGATCCAATGTACCCCATATATGGGGTACTATGAATAACTTTCCACTTTTTAAAAAAAACCTTTGCTTTCAGAAAATTACGAATATTATTGTTAAAGTTGAACTAGATTTCTATAGCCAACATAACTACTTATTGATCAAGTTATAAATATTGATAATTTATAGTTTATTTATATAGGTAAGCTACATTTGAAAAAAAGTGATTCAGTGTACCCCCCTTTCCCCTACCGTTAAATGATCAATACATAAATGCATATAATTTTAGTCATTCAACGGTATAAAGAGATATTGACGATTGTTCATAAATAATAGGCTAAATTTAGTAAAATTTTGTAATAAACTTGATAATATAAAATGTAGATAAACTTTATAATTAACAATGCTTGGAGTCATATATACATTGTCTGCTGTACGGTGTACCGGTTATAAGTGATACCATGCTTAAGATGAACATCTTTATTGGGTATAAATATATACATTTTCTATACCTGGCATAAGATAGCGAAGACGCGTGATGGTAGAGGCTATTGACATACCTATAAGAAATTGGTAAAATTAAAGGTAATAGTTTCTATAAATATAATAAAATTGTAACTAAGCCGGATACACACATAACATAAATTTTTATTTTGAAAATCGTATTGATTTAGATTTTTTGTCTGTCTGTGATCGCATTGCGAGAAAAACACTCGACAGATTTTGATCAAATTTGGTATGATGATAGCTGGTTATCCGGGTCAACATATAGGATACTTTTTATGGCGGTAAAATAATATGCTAAATTAAGGGAACGTTCAAACGCAAGTAGGGACGAACCCGATCGGAGCGAAGGTGAGTCGCTAGTCTAGTATAAAAGCGAAACATTAAGATATCAAATCATTTTTATATTGGACTACCATTATAAACGCAAAAGTTTGTAACTATGTACATAATTATGTCACTCCTTCACGCTGTAACGGCTGGACGAATTTAGATGAAGTTCAGTACACAGATAGATTATAGACCCGGATAGCATATGTATAAGCTAATGTTAGGTACCTAGAACCTGAACCTGAGCGTACCGAGAGTGAGTCGCTTGTATATAATAAATATACCTTCTAAAATAAATATATCTATATCCATTTTAGAATACCTATTAACTTAAGAATATGCCACTTTGACAAACACCTATATTTGTAAGTACTTATATATTACAAACAGCCAACTATAATTTCAAGGTATTACGATAATATCTATTGGCACACAATACCGAAGTCGATACCTTAATCATTTCGATTTGCAAATTATTAGCCAACGGTCAGGCGTAAAATGGCGGAACGCTATAAGTATAAAGGAATTTTAGCAAATTATCATGGTACTGACTTTTGCCACAGATTTAAATGAGATATTAAATAATCGATGTCGGTTCTAATGGAAATGTCTAATCGATTTCAAATATAAGCTGACGTAATATGACATCATTATATTTTATAAAGAAATCTTATGATTTCGCTAAAAGTATACAAATTTGATAACTTTTAGCATTTTGTAATAAATTATTAAAATAGGTACTTACCTAAAAACAATATTAAAAGATAACTTATATATTTCAAAAATTATAAAATTGCGTAAAAATAAAAGTATTAAAATGGGTGTAATTAAAATAAAACAATATGAAGTTGCTTCAAGCATATATTCCTTAAAGTATAAAATAACCGTTTCAGGAACATTATTTACTTAGTCTAAAAAATAAAGTAACAAATGGCTATAATCTTAACATAAAATCTTTATTCGATATACTGAATACTAATTATAAAATATAACAATGGCTACTACAAAATAATACATTTGTGATAATAGATTTACTAATAACTACATGACATTTTCATGTTTACATGATAAAAATGCAAAATAATTCAACAAATAACCTCAATTCAATTGTAAAATTTATATAGTTCCTGGGCGACAAAGCTTAGCTCGGCGAAGGATTTTGCCCAGTAGGTTATCATCTATTGGCGACAATGCAAGTACCACAAACATTTACGAGATGGCGTTATATGACATTGTCAGCATGAGACCAGATAGAAATAGGCTCTAATAATAATTAGTTATAAAAAAATTTTTTTGGGAAAAATTGCGTTTTTCAGAAAAGATACACAACTTATAAAAATATGTGTATAAAAAGCAAAACTTTATCTAAATACAAGGTTTGATCCTAATCGTAAAAACTGTTTCCGAGACACACAAAATAAATGTACAAGAATTGCTGATTTAATATTATAAAATTTGTATATTTATTTTAGTACGTATTCAATTCGCACCGATGTAAGGCACCCAATTTAAATAACATTTCAAACTTATTCTATTTATAATTACTTTTATCTATAATAATATCTAAAATATTAATTGACAAAAAAGAAATTTATCCGCGCGTAGGTAAATATTTTTAAATTGTAATCATTTTCAAACCCCGCAACTTTACCTTATCGGCTCCTTTATGATTTCTGATTCTATAAAATAAAGTTAAAAGGCTGCAGTATCAGTAAAATATTCGAAACCGTAAAAATAAAGAAAATTTTGGAAGGATAGCCTAGATTAACTTTCAATCTAGTGTTTTGGTGAGAGCTTTACGTTTTTCTTCATAAAACTTAAAAAAAAAACAAATTAAAAATACTAGAAAATCAAGCTATAATATAAATGCATACGGACGACACTCCGGTACACAAATAAATAAAACAACAATTAAATATTTTTATTTCGTCAGTCGAATTTGGTTCCAATTGTACCAAACCCGGCCGTGTGGACGCTCATGGATAACCACAGCTAATACATAGAAAAACTGTCAATAGTCACCACATTATATATTATTATTCCTGTTTTCCAATTAGAGCACAATGCCGCACTTTGGTTCACAAACACGAACAACGCGAAAAAGCACTTCTTATATTTTCTGTTACTCACTTCGTATCCGTTGCGCGCATCACGCAAAAGCAGTACTTTTCAAAGTGCTCGATTGTGCGCGTTGCTATAATAGTTCAAACATTCGAAGTCGAGCATTATGCCGCACAATGCGATTTAGTGCTGTAATTGGAAAACTACCTATATAAGGGCAGGGAAAATATTTCCTACCAGCAGGTTTTATAACTATTAATATAAACATTATACACAGCACTTTGTATCAAGTTATAACTAAAGTAATAAATTTTTTCAACTTAATTTGGTATTATGGCAAGCAAAACTATACTACAAAAATACACTATGCACGGTTAATGTTTTAATTTTCCATTTTTAATATGTACACTATCTGAATGTAGTAGAATGAGCAATAGCACAAGATGGCGCGTAAAACAAATGATTTTCAAAAAATACTCTGCTTAGTCAGTTCCGCTCGTGAGTATAAAATCAATGGATTTATCCATACCAAATCCCACGTGTATGGTTGTACAAATTCGATCGTGTGTACAGTGCCGGATTCAATCTTAGCGCCGCCCCAGGACATACTAAAAAATGCCGCTCTATTATTGAAATTTTGCATAAAATGGGTAAAGCTACGATAAAGTTTAAATTTTTATAATTATTAAATTTTTGAAAAAATGCAAAAAATAATTTATAAATATATCAATTTTTTTTTAAATGTACCTAGTAGTTAGTATTTTTTTTTTGGAAAATTAAAAAAGCATTTTCGATAACGCGAAGAATTTTTTTTTGTTGACCCTAAAAATTTGCCACCCTGGGCACTAGTCCCGAGTGCCCTTAGTCTATCCAGCGCTGCGTGTGTACACTGATACTCATAAAAATCTAAACATTGCATATAGCCTGATAAGCCTCAATATGGAATCCGTCAGATGGCGTTAGTGTGAGCTGGCGACTGGCCTTCAAGAACAGCACCACACCCGGCTTTGCTCGCACCGGCTCAGTGTCACTTGCCTCGCCTTGTCCAGAGATAATGATGATAATACTCGGGCTGTGTCTCACTATTGTGTTGTAGGAATCACCACTTTGAACCTGCAATTAAAATAATATTATTATATTTATACTAGCAACTCATGAATAGAAAATTTAGTATATTTTAGTGCTGAATCATAAATTAAAATATTTTTTTTTGGACAAAAAAAAATTTGGTGTGGACCACCTTCACCACTTAGGGGTATGAAAAATATGTAGTTTACGTCTTATTCTCAGACCTACTATTCATACACACAAAATTTCATAAGAATCGGTCAAGCCGTTTCGGAGGAGTTTCGAAGTTCTCATCCTCGCTTCGCTTGTCCCTAGGTACGTTTTAACGTTTAGAATGGAATAGATAGGCTATATTTAAATACATCAGTATAATGAGTTGTTATGGGTTTTATTGTTACGTGTTTTCTAGTGGGAATGAGATAAGCTCCCGTGGTAAAAACCAGCCTATGTTACTTTCCAGCCCTCAATTTATCTCCACACAAAAAATTACGCCAATTCATAACTCTGTTTCGACATGAAAGAAAGACAAACAAACAAACACACTTTAACATTTATAATATAATTAAAGTATAGAAGTATAGATTTGACATTTTGAATAAAACTTTTCTTCGTTTCGGAAACACACACGAAATCTACTTTTACTTACTCTAATTTTAATGATAGCAAAGTCCGGTACAGGCGGCCTCCAAATGCAACTATTTTCATCCTCCAAATGGGGCATAAACAACAGTTCTTGTTTATCATAGCTTGTGTAGTCCAACATTTCCACTAGTGTCGGTACATCTATGTGTTTTGGTGTCAGACCCGCTCTAACCACATTATCTGAGCACGCCATACATTCTACACAATCTGAAACATAATTAGATAATAATTTGCTTAATACTTTTTTAGATTTATGCAAATATTTGACATTGAAATTTTTAAATAAAAGTATCTTTTAGATTTTTTTCAGTTCATTTATTTTGATTTTTGGGTGACTGAAAAATCCGAAAAGATAGTTTTATTTAAAATAATAATTTGCTGATAAAAAGTAATAAATTAAATTGAATTTTAGGAAATAAAAAATATAGTTTGCTTATTAGTATCACATTTTTTTTGTTTTCAACTAAGGTTCCAAGCCTTTTCGCTATGAAATACTAAGTCTGTAAATGATAATGTTTATAATAAATAAATACATAAATAAGGTCACATATTATTATACATACCTCCACTTAAATAAGCATGAGGCAAGTTTGGCTTTAGAAATATAGCCTGTCCAGGTTGTAAAGTTATATAGTTCATAAAGAAAGGTGACCAACATCCAACATCCCCTGTAAAGTCTTTATGCAGCCTTTGTATTAGAGGAAAAAGAAGTGATTTCTGTGAATTATTATCTAAGAACAAAATAGAAATTTTGTATTAAAATTTTGGGTGCAAACTTTGTCACCGATAAACTATTAATGAATAATTATAGATATGTATGTAATCCATACTAATATTATAAATGTGACGGATTGGCGTGTTTTTTGTGTGGAGATAGTTAGAGGGCTGGAGAGTGACATGTGCTACTTTTTACTGCGGGAGATTATCTATTTGCCACGGGAAAAGACGTTATAATACAATCCAAATAAATATTTATGATCAGAATTATTTGAAACTTGAAAGTTAATGCTCTTCATATAATACAACAATAAGTACCTTCCTTTTCCAATCTTGATAAAAAGTTCTGTAAACTTAATGCTATTTTATGTTTATCACATGTCATTAGTGATTGAAATATTTCTTTTAGGTCATTTCCATCACCATGGAGAAATGCATTTAAAGTTTCTTTTGACAGGACTTGGGCAAGTTCTGGTAACTCTGAAACAAATTGTTTGTATTCTTTATAATACATAGCAGTAGTACATTACATGGGATTCTATTTAGAGATTATATGTATGTACACTGTACTGACCAATAAATGTAGGTGATTAATAACATTCAGGACATAAGTAATGTTTGAAAATGATAAGAAACTTTAGTTATTAAAACTAGTAATTTGCCTCATGAAAAATATTATAAACCAAGGTAAAAAAATATTGAAATTAAAAATTTTCTTAGGAATGTGGATGTAGCCAGGTGTATGAATGAATGGTTTAAAACACACAAAGGACAAACATACAAGGAAATATTCTTTTTATTTATAGATGCATGGAAAAAGTTGTGCAAGAAGAAGAAGATGTATTGATTATAATAAAAATATATAACTTACTTTTTAAATATTCCTTAATTTGATCTATCGGTCTGAATCCACACAATGCCTCAAATGGTGTTAAAGCAATAGCAAGTTCTGGTTTATGATTAGGATCTTTATACATATCAGGAAAATTACTATGAAGTTGATGTGCATGATCCTGTAATAAAATGTTACTATGATAACAAACATTGTAAAATTTTATTAGTCAAAAGATAAGCATTGTCTGGTATTTATTTAATCCCTGCTATTACACACAATGCTACATACACTACATTTTTTTTACATTTACAATAAAAAAAAATGTTTAAGAATGGAAATAATTACTCTTAAAATCCTGTGATTTTTTATCAGCAAATAGCATAAGATTATGTTTTTTTATTCAATTCTTTTAAATGTAACATTGAAGAAGCCAATTATGTAAAGAACAAGTCATTTCATTATTTATAAGAAGAGAGTCTGTATGTGTACCATACATCTTTATGTTCCTTGTGTATTCAATCAAGCCCTGTTGATAATTGTATAATTAAGTAGTATAAAAGAATTCTTGACAAGGCAGCAGCAGCAGAAGTTACCTTAGTTGGGTGAGCTTGAATTGATAATGCTTTTCTTATTGACAACACTTTGAGCAAAAATGGAACAGTAATACCAAACTTTTTCTTCACATCTGGACCTACAGCATCATGATTATCTTTCAGATACTCTGAGAGCAATATGTTTCTCTCAATAATAATTGAGGGGCCATTTGGGTGAGTTCCCATCCATAATTCAGCATAAGGTTTCCCAGAATCTATAGTAATATCTGGATTAGCACTTGAAAATAGCTTTGCTACTGTACTATCTGTCCCCAATTTTCCCCATTCATAGTTTTGAACTTTACACTTTAACTCCATTACGCAGCTACAACAGTAATATGCAAAAATTAGTCATATTTTATTAAATTCTCGTAAAGTTCTCGTAAAGGTAATCAGTAGCTTGTTCATTCACATTTTAATTGTAAAGGTTATTATTAAATGAAAAAAAATTATGTAAAATACAGGTAAAATAAAAATACTTACCTTTTTACTTGCGTAAGAGAAATTTAATATTCGACGAATAAAAAGATAATAATAAAAAATACACAGTACTTAATATATAAACTAAATCGTTATTTGCTAACGTAACAATTAAAAAAAAGTCAAAAATCAAAATTGAATTCACAATTGTCAATTCGAATTTCGAGTAAATAATAAATATACAAAGTACTACAAGTTAGTTACATTTAGTTACATTTAGTTGTTTAATCGAATCGAACACTAATCGAGTTGAGCCTTTAAGGAACGAAAATTGCGGATAATTACCGTTCGTTAGTTTCGCTAAGCGGCTGGATCAATTTGAATAATTCTTTTTTTTTGTTGGTGGTGTCAGATGTGTCTGGGGTGGTTTAAGTATAAAAAAATAGGGAAAATCCAAAAGTTTAGAACTGTTTATTTGGTACCTATGTATATTGTATATATATGATAATATATAATATATTCATTCCATATTAACAGTTAAGATGTACTTATGGATGAACCCGTGTGAAGCGAGGGTGAGTCACTAGTATACTTAATAAAAATTTAAAAATATGGACCGTCACGGGACTTCATGGGCCTGACACTGTCAATACATAGATACTTCATATCTGACAGGCTGATAGATATGAAATATCTATGTAGTAGTATTCATAATTAATAAAAACGTCACCCCACAAGTCGGTTTTACTGCCAATAGACATTTCACATCAAAAATATCTACGGTCATATCGTTTGAAGTTCGTTTTCAGGACCATTATAGGCGATAGAAAGAACGACAAGTAGTTAGAATCTCTATATCGATTAATTAAAAAAGAGTTTAGTATTTTATTTTTTTGTACATCGATTTCACCGAATAAGCATTTAATCGAATATATTTTGTATTACGCTGTCCTTCATTCGTTTGGTAAGCTGTCAAATTGCCATTCATATTAAAAGATAAAGTATCTTTTATTTAATCTGTGCATATAATTCGTACTTCTTAAAATATTATAACTTACTGAGAAAAATGAATTTAAAACTATGGAGGGTGGAACAAAGTGGAAATTTTTCTTTCCTTTTTTAATTTAGTGTCCTACTCTAATAATTTGTGGCGCTCCTTAACAAATTCTTTCACTTGCCTTATACTATAGCACCACCTTAATTTGCTCCCTTTCAACGGATACTTTTTAATACACTGAGATGATCCTCCTTACTTCTACCCTCCATATTTAAAACTTACAAATAGCTTTTTTATGATAAGCGCGCCATGAGAAGGAAAAAAATGATTGGCGTTACGATTTTTGTAACGTAAACGGTTACGCTGGGCTTTACGGAAGTGAATAAAAAGTCGATTAATAATTTTTTAAACTATTATATGAATATTTCAAAGAATAATTAAATAAAAATAGATATTTATAAAAAACACTTCTTTCATTTTTAAATGAATGAATTGAATCATATCAAATAATTAAAATATTGTTAAAAAATTATTTTCTTGAAATATTTTTTTAAAATTATATATATATATATCTATCTTTTTTTCAATCAAAGATTTGCATTTGTATTATTATTCATTTTATTGAAGTATATGATAATTGGACACATTACAACATTTGATTGAAAATTTAATTTTATCTTAACACCATCTGTACCTACTATGTGAATAATACACATTGATACACGTTAATACTCTTTCATTTTTTCCTGAGGTTTTCTCAGGCATGCGGTAAATATGATAAAAATGATTCGCACATGAAAATGAGTGCGAAATACGGGAACCCACTTTGCTTGGATTTTCAAGCGAGCGCGTTACCATTGCCTCCGGCCTCACCTGTAACTTTGTAATATCCAATTTTTATTAGAAGTCGATTTTACATATCGATTTTAAATTATTTGTATGTAAAATCAGAATGACATTACATTAATTTGAAAGTTGAAACCGTCAAGCTGGTCTGATAATAGAGTCAAGATGTGGATAGAGAAACTCTTCAATGGCTACTAACTAGTAAAACTTCCGCTTTTCAGATTTTAATTTGAATATTTCTATTCCCTTACTACCAACGCCCAAGAAATGCATTGGAGAATTAAAGTGTGAATCAAAGTAGGTATCAACAGACAGAACAGAAGAATAAAATTTTAATCTTATATTAATTGGGTCGGTACATATATGTATATATTAATATACTAGCATTGCCCGCGGATCCGCCCGCGTTTAGATGACCAAAAACCAAATTCTTAGGTTTTACATGTTAGTGTACTCTTACATTACAGTTTTTGTATTTTTTCTCAGAAATGAGATATTTTTCCGCGGTAAAAAGTATCCTATATGTTGACCCGGATAACCAGCTTTCACCATAACAATTTTCATCAAAATCCTTCCAGTAGTTTTCTTGTGATGCGGTAACAGACAGACAGACAAAAATTCTAAAAACTATAGATTCGGCCTCTGTATCGATAATGTTTATTCAATAAGATTTTCCAAAAATATCTTATATAAAATACAGATAATATAAAATACAGATCTTATATAAAATACAGATTCGGCTTAGTTACAATTTTATTATATGTATAGATATAATTCTTCTGTATGTGTGTTTCTTAACCTACTCTTCCTAAAGGACTGGACCGATTTGGATGAAATTATGTGTGTATATTTCAATAGGCTCCTGGATGGTTTGAAAACACAAGTGGACCCAGTAGGTGGCGCTGCAGTCGGTGTACCACTGATTATCTCCTAAGCGGCAGAAACGATTTTAATGATATTTTTTGTGTATGTGCGAGTGGGTCCCCCCTGCAAAGTTTGAATTCACAAATGGATCCGGTAGGTGGTGCTGCAGTCGGTGTGTCACTAAATTTTCATAAAAGTAAAAAAACTATTTTCCGAGCAATAAATAAATTTAAATTGTTGATTAAATAAAATAAAAATCGAGGTGTGTATGGACTCTAAAACAGCTGAAGCGATTTTGGTGAAATTTTCAGCTAATCTTCAGATTAACCCAGCGGGTGATCCTGTGAATTTGGTTAGTGATCGGAAGTTTGGACGCGGGCGAAGCCGCGGGTACAGCTAGTAGATTATAAATTTGTCTTATGTAAATACCTACATAGGTAGGTATATTGCTTTCTTATGTCAAATAATTTATATATACAATACAGAATTCATGTGTTTTGGTAAAATATTATCTATATAAAACGGAGACAGTGATTAAAACAAAAAAAAATATGGCTGCTTAGTATTTACTAGTTGCGTACAATTTGTTTTAAGAATATAATTTTTTGGTAATGCACATTCCAATAAATAATCATACTTTAATAATTTATATTACTCGAATGATTACTTAATATTAGAAAATATCTAGTCTTCTAGTTATACGTAATAACTTTTATTATTTTAATAGGTCTGTTTTTCTACATAAGCTTTTACTTCTTCTTTTAAACTCTGCAGAATATTCTGTTCTGAGGATTTATTTGCTGAATATTTCGAGTTCAAAGTCGTCTTTACAACATCGTTTTTCAAATTATTATTTTCAACTATTATGTTCTTTGAAAGATGTGATGGTATAGTGAATCCAGACAGACCTCTATTAGTTATATCGACATTCAACAAATCTACCGGCTCACAAATACTAGGTTCGTGTTGGAAATTTCTATCTAAATATAGGTTAGCGCTATGTCTAGTATTTTTCAACAATGCAGGACTATATTTCATTTCTAATTGTTGTATATCCAAATATGGGTATTTCTTCTTAATTACAAATTTTTCATATTGACGAACTACATCATCGCTTATTGAATATTTACTAGCGAAATTCTTGAATCCAATATTAAAATGGTCATAAATATTCTTACCGAAGTCATTTGTCGTGTCTTTGATTTTTCGAAATGTATTTTCTAAATTGGAGGCCATTTTTTTTGTTCTTTCAGCAAAATTGAAATGTTCGCTACCTAAAACCAAATCTAAGTACATTTTCATCCAATATTTAAGAGTATCAAAATAGCTAACTTAATCCGCTACTATATATTCCTCAAGTAGGTAGATACAACTAAACTAAAAAGTAGATAAAGCCACAGATCATATTAGACTATACTATAAAACTAAAACTCAGTTCTGGTTTTAGTACAAAGTAAATTAAAAATTAAAGAAGCAGACAATCATAAATTCTAAAAACTGTAAATTCTTGTAGGTAAATACATCCTAAAAATTCAACACACGCCCTTTTTTAAAAAGTACCTAAATAAATGGCTATAAAGTACTTAGTACTTGATATAAGGACAAAGGTAGGATTTCAAATAGGTGGAATAAGTAGTTAGAACTATACAATTTTTTATTGTGGATTGGATCATATAGCTACATTCAATTTCATTATTACAAGGCCATCTAAGAAAGTCACTCTATGTGTTAACTTAATAGTAGGTAGTTCACTTACTAACGTAAGTATAAATAGACATTTGTTAGGGCCAAAGGCTTAAACGGAATCCTTAAAATTATTATTTTGTACCTATTAAATGTGTATCTTATTGTAAGGACTGAATTATTAATGCTTGCTCATTATTAATTATGATCTATGAACATACAGGATAGTCTAATATTTATTCCCGTGCAATGGAGAAATTGCGTAATTGGCTGCTAAATAACCGACTGCAGTCTATTTGCAAACGCGTTGGTTTGTTAAATGCCAAGAGTAAAGTTTTTAGTGATAAGATAAGATTGACTTATAATACTTAGAACTAAAATAAACTGAATTAACCTTTATCTATACTTACCTATTTTACCTACCTATTTTGGAGAAGTAAAGTATATGAACCCTATTTACAAAAAGTTGCTTATAGTCTTTGATATTTTTTTTCAAAAAAAGATCTGTAGGTACCTTTACCAGAAATCAAATTATTGAAATGAAATAGAAAATAAGTCTACTTACTGTTCTTACAAAATTTGTCAATAGAAGCGTCTCTATGAAGTGGGAATGTAGAGTTAAACGAAAAGCACAATGTTACGCATACAATTATAAAAAAACGGTCACGTTTCTGCATATTTTTAAAATAAAATATTGTATTAAATTTAATTCTTTGTTTTGTAACGATAAGGTGTAATAAAATATTTATGTAAGAACATAGTTAGATATGTATGTGCTCACAATAATTATTAATGACATAAATTTGACATTTAATACCATAATATTTTATAAGTACCTACTCGATGACAATCTTGTTTAATTTTTTTAAACGAAATATATTATCTCTTTCCGATCTATATAGTAAAACGCGCCAAGTAGGCCTCCCAGGTGGCGTTTAAACGTGTGCATATTATGAAGAGTTGTAGAAAAATTGTAGAGACAATTTTATAGATAATTGCATAATCTACAATTTTTGTCTGACCTATTTTTATCATAAAACTTAACTACCGTTTGGCTAAAAACGCAAAAATTCCATATTTGGGAACTTTGGCCTTGAATATTTTTTTTTGCAAGTGTGGGATCGATGGGGACTTTTTATGTTTCATTTATAATGGTGTTCCGAACATCCGTAGGTATCAATTTTCAGCTCTATGCGAATTTTTGCATTTTTACATGTCTACTTTGACCGGACTAATAGGTCAATAGTCAATACTTACCTAGGTAATCAAACAAATATTTATATCAAAAATAAAGGTAATAAAATATATGTATACCTACCAAATAATTTTGATTTTAAATAGGTAAATATAATTTAATTAAATAGTGACAAAAACTTATTAAATAATAACTTTATGAGAATAATACTTTAGTAATATATTTCAATGTCTGCAAATCAATCACTATAATGTTCCCGCCCAGCAGGCAGTCTTATATTCAGATCGTGCCACCATTGGCCGGGATTCACCCTTTCCATCGTTTCCCAGTACCGTAGGGGATGAGGGACGTAAAGGGCGGTGCTCCAGACAAATAAATACCTGACATTCAATCCACGTGTTCGCTTAGATAGGATTGCACGTGTGATTCCCCAATTGACTTAAGTTATCGTTTTAAATACGAAATATTTAAATAATTATAATTCAGTTGTCGAAATTAATATAAAGTTGGGTGTATTCTTTTAATTACAAAATAAATTGTGTATAAGTAGTGAATTTATAATCAAAAGTTATAAGCAATGGATGAAGAAACTTTTTCAGAAAAATCTAAGACAGTAATACAGACACCAAGACCGTCGTCGCCTAGAAAATTCTTTGCTAGAATATACGGCCATCTAGAACAACAGACAAATACTAAAGATAATGCTCCAGGATCTGAAAGTGATTCATCTTCTGATGTAGAGATCGGTGATAATGAAGGAAGGGAGAGTGTCCAACCTTCATCTTTGTGGCAGCCACCACCACTACCCCTACCACTGTGCCCCCGACCAATCTTGTTGCCACATCAACAGTTAGCATTTGGAGCTGGTTTAGCTGCTTTTTGTAAGTACCTACTATACCAAGTTAGCGTATCTTCACTTTTTACCTTAGTACCTACTATACTAAGTTAGCGTACCATCACTTTTTTATTGAAACTGTTTTCTTTTTATCTCTAACTGGCGACTCACGTCGTCGTCCCTAGCTTGCTTCCCAATACAAACATTCATCCCCATTTTCAACCCCTTAAGGGATGATTTCCAGGATAAAAGTATTCTATGTCCTTCTCAGGGTCTCAAACTATCTTTTTACCAAATTTCATCTAAATCGGTTCAGTAGATCCAGAGATTACCCCCTATAACGTCACGAACTCACAAATTTTAATGAAAAATGTAGAGTTTTCAAGATGGAAATATGAGCTTTAATAGTTTTTTATAACTCAATGTAGGTAGATAATGTAGCTAGTTAATGAGCCTATGCCTGTAGGTACTCGTAGGTATTGTTTCTAGTTGCACACTGTGTCATTGACTAAAACGAGCTTTCGCAAAGATTTTTTTCTTGGGCCGACGAGGTATTGGTACTACGCCACAATACAATATTTTCGTAACATATTTAGTTATTTACCAGTAGCCTGACCAAATAGCTAACTAATGAAGCTATATTGCTGTTTGGTAGGTCGGTTCTGCAGCCTCCCCAACGTGCGTTCACCTTGTCGTGGTGGGGGGCCTCAGTAGTGCCCGGCAATACAGCCGGGCGCGAAACCACGAAACGCACAGGGAGGTGGCCCGCTTCGGTGGGCGGTGGGAAGCGGCCCTCTTCGGAGGGTGGTGTACCATGCGGGTTGCTCCTGATACTTCTCTGATAGCAGAGTGGACCTTGGAGCAACCCCGTGGTTGTTGTGGTCTGCTTCGGCAGACCTGCCGTCGGGGCGTCGTAGTTGAATGCGTAAGCGATCCTGCGACGCCCCATTAAGACGAAGGAAGGTTTTGTTGGGTTTTAGTGGGTAGTACTGGCTTCGCCGGTGAGTCCAACACTTCGTGCGTAAATGCATTTCCCAACGTTAAAAAAAAGGTCGGTTCTGCAGCCAAATTATAAAATTAAAAAAACAAGGGGTGGCATTTCATACATGCATAATGAACTAATGATTATCTATGGATATATCTTTGAAATGGGAATCGACGTTTCTAAGTGACTCAAGTATAATAGTTTGTTGTTAACTTCAAGCCAATGTTGTGAATTTATTGTAAAACATAACATAACTAATGTTTTATGCTACGTAACCTTGGATGTACGAGTCAGACTCGAGCATGCCCTATTTTTAATTATAATGCAGGGTTTGTACTGAAACTGAAATCGTATAATTGATTCGATTTAACATTCTGATTTATTAAAAGTAAAATAAAAAAATAAAATAATCATTTTAAGGACGGCATAAGTAAGTTTACATTTCATAGCATTGGGACACATGAAACGGGAAATATCGTATCTTCTTCAAAATAATATTCGTTGAAATTATTTTGGAAACTATTATCTAATTTTTTTTTGAGAATTTTCCACCTCATATTTCAAAAGGTTCAGATACCTACAATGTTCATGACTTTAAAAGTAATTACATATTACTGGTTTCAATATACAAGTCACTTAGAAACAACAACATGTAAATTTGATACCCCACAATTTATTAACAAATTTGTTTTCACCCAACAGATACATGTATGAATTGCTATGCTTATATTTTATTTTATGTTATTTGACTACAGAATAGGGATTAGGGAATATGGGTGATTTTTTAAAATGTCTTATATAATAGTTTACATCGTTACATAATTGTAAAAAAATATCCAGCTCCAAAAAACTAAATGTAAGTATATAAAAAAGAATTAAAATATCATACCCATACGGATAGGTACTTTAAACGCCCGTCATTTCACGAAAAGTGACGACGCAATTTGTAGCGACAAAATCGCTAATCGCTCTGATATGGCATACTCTGACGTCATATTCGGTCTGACCAAGGCATTCGTTTCAACTAATTTGAATTTCCCACTTATTATATTAATTTGCACTTTTTAATAATTATATTTTCTTAATCAAAAAGAAATTACATTAAAATTTAAAACATATTAATATAGGCTTAATTCAAAAGCAATAAAAATTAAAAAATATATAAAATATATTTTACCTTTATTTAAATCACACGCATTTTCCCTATTGTCTAGCGACTTACACAAGACACTGAAGTACTAAATCTAACTCCAATAATCTTCCAATAAAAAGGCGGTCAGTCTGACAGATGGATAAGGCGAAATCATAAACACGGTAATGTAATGTAATATTACTGTGTCATAAAGGTTCTGTTAAAACCATTTGGCTACAGAACCCGATTTCTGATATTCTTTATTAATTATATTGCCACATTTTTTTATAATAATAAAAGGCATATACCTAAAAACATATGTATATAGAGACATATTATATTTTTTGGGAATTTAGATAGTTTAAAAACATTGATTTACAAAAACGCAAAAGTGCTTTCAAAAAAAGTGCACAGTTTGAAAATGTGCGCCTTTTTCAAATAGTCTCGAATTGCGTTAGCTACATATCAGACGTCTGAACCACGGTAATGTTATAGGTATGTAATATTATCGTGTCTGAACTCTGAAATGTCAAATGGTACATTAGGTACAAATTAAAATTATTACATTTAGAACCTTCAAAAAGTTTCGAATATCGCATTTTCGGTAAGTAAAAATGTACCTAATTGATATGGTTTTGTCATGAACAAATTAGAGACTGGACCTGACATAAAATACAAATGTATGAAAACTAGTTCAACCAAGTGACGCATAACGCACACAAAGATTTTATTACATTATTATTATAAACACCGACACACAGACATAATACAATATTTCTAGTGCTTGAACGTAATCGATAAAATACATATATCGATGAACCAATGAATGACATTTTAGACATTGGTTAGCATAGTCATCATATTTTACATCTTTTAATTTAAAATATCTGTATTTATTATAATAAATTAAAATAAATGAATTAAACAGGCAATAATAATGTGTCAAATAATAATTATTTTTTAATTTGATTTATATAAATACGATGGCATTGATGGCAACATTCTGTTAGCCTTTTTTTTTTTTTTAACGTTAGGAAATGCATTTACGCACGACGTGTGGGACTCACCGGCGTAATACAGCCAGTACTACCCACTAAAACCCAACAAAACCTTCCCCCGTCTTAATGGGGCGTCGCAGGATCGCTTACGCATTCAACTACGACGCCCCGACGGCAGGTCTGCCGAAGCAGACCACCACAACCATGGGGTTGCTCCACAGTCCACTCTGCTATCAGAGAAGTACCAGGAGCAACCCGCATGGTACACCACCCCCCGAAGAGGGCCACCTCCCACTGCCCACCGAAGTGGGCAACCTCCCTGTGCGTTTCTTAAACATTCTGTTAGCCTATAATAATGTTAATGAACAAATGAATATCGGGTGTATATTCCATTAATATATAATAAATATTATTTTGTATAGATTATAATTATAAACTTATTTAAAAAAATATTAAGCTAATTTAATTAAATAAAGTGATTTTGTTGATTCTGTTATTGAACTATTTTAATTGGCAATTGATTGTCTCGGGTAGTTATAAAAATGTGACACTGTCCTAATATTGCTTAGTTCTTAATCAACATTTGTGAAATTAGGAAAAAGAAAAAGCGATTGCAAATTGTGAAAAAGTGAGTGTTGGATCGTGAAAGTAAAATAATTAGTGCAAGTATTAAGTGTTTTATTACAAATCGCCAACCCAGAAGTTTAGTGCTAAAACATTATTGTTTGATTTTGTATAATTTATGTGTTGAAATAAAATGATCTTTATTATTATTACAATGGAATAATATTCCAAAGTATATAATTGTGGTATAAAATAAAAAAATTAAGTACACATACTAATTATAATTTTTGCATTTATATTTTTATTTGATTTAGAAAATATTTTTATAAATTTATTGTCATCAGATTGTAGGATACTGTGATAAAAGTATTTTTGTTATGGTACTGTACAAATAACATAATTTGTTCAGTTATTTCGTCAAATATATATTTTTCGACATTGTCAAGCACTAGTCGATGTCAAATGGACTCACTCGACAGTTTTGTCATTTGTTCTGAATGGTATAATCCAACCATTTTATGATGGTTGTCAGATGTCAACAATATATAGAAATATCGACTATATTTAACATAGTTGGATAATATGACATATTATTTTACATTTTATTAAATTTTGTGATAAATAACAATAAATGTAATAAAATAATGTATTTTCAAGTTTATAGTTATAGTTTTTACACCATTGTTACGAATGTTTGTACTCCAGTCATGGGTGTTTATATTTATAATATGTATGTATTTAAAAGTTATATATGTATAATGTATCAACTATCTGGAATCCATAACACAAGCATAGCTTACCATGGAACTAGATGGTGTTGTGTGTTAATGTCCTGACATATTTATTTATTTATTTAACAGAACATTTAGTCATTTTTAGGAGATGTTTTGTTGACAAGTAAGTGCTTGAGACTGACACAAAAAACAAACGACTAAGGCTAAAATTCCCTGGTTACTGACAAGACCGTTACAGGTACGTCCGCTTATATGTCTGGTCCAGTGGTTAATTCGTTCATGGGTTTTGTAATATATATATATTACAAAATAAAACGAGAATTATTTGATTTTTATTTAATTTGTTTTTTACATAATATCATATTGATATGATATGATAAATAATTGATTTGATAAATTTTAATAGCCGCCTATTAGTTAAAAGAACAATACATAATTTGATATAAAAATATATATTACAAACTACTTCTATACTTGGTCGCCTACTAACATTCCGATCTTATTTAAATGGAGTTGTTATCGTTATGCACTTTTTAAATTATTTTATTTTTTATTTAGGTAGTACTAATTTCATTTATTTAAATAAAAAAATACCTGTTTTCATTTATAACGAATAATTTATTACATAATGTT